CTGGACAAAATAATGTGCAGCTTGACTTGTACTTTGGACAAAGAGACTTGTGACTTGACTTGTGTTTAGACCAAATGACTTGTGATTTGACTTGACATGCCCTGTGACCAAATGACTTGTGACTCGACTTGGACTTACAAAAAATGACTTGCTGCCACCTCTTGTAGCAACAGACAGAAAAAATGCAGTCTCACGTGTTAAGTTACTATTTTGCGTAAAAATGTCACAGCAGTTCGTGACAGCATCACTGCTGTAGGATAGTTTTGTTGTGAATTTTTTTTGTATGCGGTACAGTTTTTTTCCTTAGATGCTTTTAAGCCACTGTAACATAGAGGAATGTCTTTTGTGACAAATGCTGAAAGAACAGGAATAATTGATTAAAGACAGAAAAATATTTTGGAGATTTCGCAAGAACTTGTTTGTTGATGTACATACCTGTGTAAAGTAATGTGTGAAATTCTGTCAAAAAGTGGTTGCCAATTGCTGAGTCTTACATTTTGCCCAGACTTCCTTGAACAGATTGTAGCAATGTAATTAGTCAGACAGATGCGATTGATGTGAGGCAGGAGACTGCACATGGTTGTTTACATGGAAGAACTCATGAGTTGATTCCAAGTCATCTTAAAGCTAATCAAATCAATCGATTTTTAAAAAGAAATCTTTTGCTTAAGCGCTGTAATTAGATTCTGCCTTTCAATTCTTAAAATTTGTTGGACTGCGTTCGTTCCTGCGACTTGACGTCGTGGAATGTGAAATGCTAAAAATTTATTATTAGGAGTATTGATTTTTTTCCCCCAGTGTATTTTGAGACTTACGGTTGTCAGATGAATGTGAATGACACCGAGATTGCATGGGCCATCTTACAAGAGAAAGGCTTTCAGAAAGTGGACAATGTCTTAAAGGTACGTAAATCATCCCCATCGATAATTATCAGCAGATATAGTGTCTGAGAAGTAATGTTTATTGTTTATTATTTATGTATGTTTATGTTTATGTAAGTAAGTTTTTGTACCGTGCATTGCATGATTCAGATTAGTTGGATATTGATATTGAAAAAAAAGTTTGAAACAAAACAAACCCAACTTGTTGCTAAATAAAAACACTTGGTGTAGTTCTTGTCAGGAAACTTTATGTACATGTATCTTTGTCATTGGAAAGTTTGCTTGAATACGGGAGATTCACAATAGTGCGCCTCCAAGATTTTGCAAGGCGTTGGCCAATCACAATGCGCAAAATCTGTCGACCCTATGCACATTCGGAAAGGGGTTGACAGATTTTGTGCGTTGTGATTGGCCAACGTGTTGCAAACTCTTGGTGGCGCACTACTGTATATCACCCATGTCAAGCAACCCCTGCCCATTGCATGCGTAGAAAACAGGATACATTTTCATTTAAAAATTACAGTTGGAGTATTGTGGTCTCTTTAAGCAAACTAAAATCTGTATTTGTTTATTTGTGTGGTGGATTGGAAGGAAACTATTCTCATTTTTTTGTTACACATCAACATTTGTCATTCAGGCGGATGTTATCTTGGCTGTCACGTGTGCCATCCGGGAGAATGCGGAGCAGAAAATCTGGAACCGACTGGAGTACTTCCAAGCGCTGAAGAGACGGCGGCGGAAAAACCAGCCCCCTCTGAAAGTAGGCCTCTTGGGTAAGATACTAAGAATCCAGAAATACCACTTCAGACATCCTGCAGAACTTTCCAAAATCTGAAATGCTCTATTATTCACTGAAAATTCAAATACATTCTTTGCACAGAGGTTCAGAATGTGTCATAGTATACGTGTAATACAACAAGTTACCTTGTAAGCATTCCTTTTGACCTTGAGTGATAGTTATGGGAAAGATAATGATGGTAATCCTTTGATAAGGCCAAAACAAAACTAATCACTCTGGACCCTGTGTGCACGTGGTATGCGGCACTTGCCACATGCGCTTCAAGTCCATATAAGGAGATTCTTCTGGACTGCTTGCACAAGGAATATACTATAGAATGGACGGGGGCTTTGGGGGAAATGAAAGTAAAATTCATGAACAAAATCCGCAGAAATTTATCGTATATTGATTTCCTTTGACTCTGGGTAAAATGGTATTTATGAGTGGGAATAAGTATGTGTTTGGTTGGTCTTAAACTGATGTTTAAGACCCGCTCAGGAGAATGCCCTTGAGAGGTTGGGTGGCACTTACATGTATTTCAAATGAAACAAACAGCACTTCAAAGGGTACTCCATGGAGTTGTGGGCGTAAATAAGTCCACTGAACCACTTTGAGCCACATTCAATCAAAATAGGTACCTTTTTCTTACTTTTCATTGTCCAATTTCTCATTTTCTCACAATCCAAGCACAAAACTTTAAGGGTTGTGCCGTCAAAGTAGGGAAACAGGAAGCACAGTAAATAAATTTTTTTGGCTAACGTAAACTGAGTAACCCTTTCCATCAATGTCTATTGAATAAACTACATGTAGATCCATTTGAGATCTTTGCTGATCAGGTTTTACCTCTCCCAGTACACTCTGTGGCGAGGGTAAAGACATGAGAAAAATCTCAAATAGCAAGGAGTTAACATCCAGCAGTGTTTTCACGTGTCGACGTTCTGTCCTCCTTTCTGTGTATCAGGCTGTATGGCTGAGCGGCTGAAGAAGGAGATTTTGGAGCGAAGCAAGATAGTGGACATCGTGGCTGGTCCCGACGCCTACCGAGACCTACCCAGGCTGCTCTCCGTGGCCCACTCGGGGCAGGCCGCCATCAACGTCATGCTATCCATGGACGAGACGTACGCCGACGTCGTGCCCGTCCGACTGAGTCAGGATTCTAAGTCAGCGTTCATGTGAGTGCCGGATCTGCACTTTATATGATTGTTCAGTTAAAACTTATTAAGCCATTTCTGAGTCACTGATGGAGTTTTCCATACACCAGTTTCATTTCTTAACTCTTCGCTTATTGCTTTGAGGTCAGTGAATTTTTGGGGAAGCTCACGCCCAGTATCGCACCGATTATTCTGTGCCAAACATCAAGCTTCACTTGCCGCAGTGCGGAGCCAAAAGTTAGAATATATTGATTCGAATCTAGCATGCAGGGCCCTTTGGAGACTCGTTTCTTTTCCTCACATTTGTTGGATGTTTGGCCGACGTCAAGGACAATTTACAGCCATCCTCGGTAAATGATAAAATTTACGGGGAGGTCTGAAGTTCAGCAAGGACACTGTGTTGGCACTTCAGCATCACGAGGGAATATCAAATTAGTGTACAATGTACCTCCCCCCCCAGACTTTAACTCGGACTCATCTACAAGGCCACGTCAGGGGACACCTGTCATCTGGCTAGTATGCCGCGGGAGTCTCCCGACAATCTCTGTCTCCTCAACAATCAGAAGTTTTTGAGTGACTGGAAAAAAAGGTCTCAGGGCTGTGGCACGACGTGCAAACTGTGTAATTCACTTACCAATAAATGCGAATTAAATTGAACATGCCAGACTTCAAAAAACCTCATGGAAAAGTGTCAATGCTGTCATGCCCAAAGAGACTGTAATTGTGAAAGGGCATGCTTGACGGCATTCCTCTCGGCCTTTTCATTTTTTTCAATTCTTTCAGAGCACCTCTGGTTCACAAAGGATTTCATTGTCTGGGAATTTGCCAGCATGTTCTCAGTTAGAAAAACGAACATTGAGATATTCGTATTCAGTTGATAAACAAATTATACAGAGCATTGTATCTCCGTTCAGGCCAAAAAAACCCCTGATCGAAAGAAACACCAGGCAGATGGTAACCACAAGAAAATATGATCACAGCACATACAATGTAGCTTCACATTTGGTTGAGACTGCGTCGTTATGAAAGACAAATCAAATCCTGTCCTCTTGGCTGACAAGGACGTGTCTTTTCTAAAAAGCTCAATGAAAATAATATCTGAAACTACACCCATGCTAAGGTTTTAGTGACAGCCCCTGTAACCAAATTGCCACGAAGGGTGAAATATTCATTTCATCAAAATCATTATCAAAGTTGATCTTCATCATGTATTTGATCTTGTATCGTTTTTCACTGTGAAATGACCTGAAATGTACACGCTTGTATGTCAGTCTTAACCGTCTCAATGTTCTGCAAGTTACATGTCATGTGATACTGTTACCCCCGATCCACAGGCTTAAAGTATTCTTGTATGCATTTCTTAGGCAACGATTTCAATCACAGTGGGCAGCCGTAGGCATTCAATCATGCGTGAAAAGCAAAATGGCTGGCCGCACGTGACACTCGCCTGTACAGTAGTCTGCAAAGATATTCAAGTGCCTCGTTGAAGGATACAAGCAACCGTGCACTCAACGTCTAGACCACAAGTGTGCCCGCACTTCACCTTGACACATGCTGTATCGATTCCCTCCCAAACGCACGACTGAACTCCGCCCTGGAGATCTTGGGTACTTTTGATTGTAATTTTTTTTTCTGTCGTCGTAGTTCTATCATGCGAGGGTGTGATAACATGTGCAGCTACTGCATCGTCCCGTTTACACGAGGCAGAGAGCGGAGCCGGCCCATAACCTCCATCCTAGAGGAAGTCAGGATTCTCTCTGATCAGGTGGGCAGAGCATCACAGTGCAGCCCACTTAGGTCCTGCCTCTGTGGGTTCCGTGTACAGACACCCCCCTCACGAGGAAAACGACAAAAAATTCGGGCCGGCACCAGACCGACCTGGTCCAGGCACTGACCCTGTGAATATGAACCTGTTCAGATAGTGTGTAATCTGTTCCTTATCCGATACTTACAAGTGTTCCACACATTTCAGTCACGAAGGACCTAAATCTGCCCAAAGGCATAGTTTCAGTGTCGTAGTCCAGGTCATCACAAGTCCCTGCAAGTCCATTTTAAATTGATCCAGTCTCAAGCTACATGTAAGTCACAAACAAACTGTGTCACAAGGATTCCTCTGTCGTTGTACACCCTGTTACATGGTCTTCCGAAAGGACTTGCAACTGGACTTGTAAAGGGAATTGTGATGGACTCAGCCACAAGTGTGCTGTTTTTTGCATGAGCTCAGTATGGTACAGTGTTCCTTGTTGAATTTGGTATCCCAATTTCGTGAAACTGGTGAGCAAGGAGTGCTGCCCATGGGTCACTGCAGTGCTGAGATGGGTGGATTCAAGAACTATGCCAGCCAAGTGGCCCTGGAAATTAAGGTTAATTAGGCCAGCTTTCTTTTATTACGTGAACCAGGAAATCCAGACAACTCTGAATAATGCAGTATTAAAATTTTTTGGAAAAAAGACACCAATTTCAATATTTTTCTTCGCCAGCCCTGGATAAGTTACTAAGTTACTTACTTTGAAGTTTTGTTTTTAATTTTTTTCTGTCCTGCATTCTTGCAGAAGTTCGCAATCCAGTAAATCCTTTTCCAAGGTTTTTTTTTTGGGGGGGAGACAGTTAAGAGGATGGAAGGGGTGGGGCTAATAGCACCATTCTTGGAGGAGGAATTGCATGTTGACATTGTCTTCCTTGCAGGGAGTGAAGGAAGTGACGCTGCTCGGCCAGAACGTCAACAGCTACCGGGACACCTCTGAGGCGATGCACTACGGGTCGGATGCAGCCCCCGAAGCTGCCACCTCCGATGGCTCCGCCCACGATGGCTCCACTCGTCTGGCCAGGGGCTTCCGCACCATCTATAAGCCCAAGCAGGGCGGGCGGCGCTTCGCCGACCTTCTGGCCCGTGTCGCACAGGTGGACGCGGAGATGCGGGTGAGGTTTACCTCCCCGCACCCGAAGGACTTCCCGGACGAGGTGCTGCACGTGATCCGCGACTGCCCCAATGTCTGCAAGCAGGTGCACCTGCCAGCTCAGAGTGGCAACACAGAGGTCCTGAAGAGGATGCGTAGAGGGTAAGAGAGATTGAATTGAAGGACACAGTGGAGCTTAGATCAGAGGCACGTTATAATTGATTGAGAGGAACAGGTTGGAGACAACAGTTAATCACAAGCCAATCTCAAGTCAATCACAAGTCAATCAAAACCCATTCACGAGCCCATCGCAAGTTGATCACAAGCCAATCACAAGTCAATCAAAAGCCAATCACAAGTCTATCACAAGTCGATCACAATCTAATCACAAGTCAAACACAAGCTGACTGACGAGTTGATCATATTTCCAATGTGAATGGATCCCAAGCCGACGACAAGTCAGTTACATGCCAGTCGTATGTCAATCACAAATGAGTCACAAGTCTATAACAGGTCAATCAGAAGTCCAACTCAAGTCTCATTACTTACAGTCGAGTCTAGTGAGTGATTCATGTGAACTCTGACTTCCTCTTTCAATTTCTTTTTTACTGTGCCTCTCTTGTAACTTGCCGCCTTCTGACTTCTGATTTGGCTTTGTGATTTTCTCAGTTGTATTCTGGAAATTTGTCGTTGGTTGCAGGTCCCTTTTTGACATCTACATGCCTTAATCTTTTCAGTGCAGTGTATTTTTTAAAACGTTGATTCAATTTTATACTTTAACCCTGGAGGAAATTTTTGGAGATAAGTTGCCTTCACATTTGAGCAACAACGTACTCAAATGTTCTGTTATATCTTCCAGCTACACAAGAGAGGCTTACCTGGATTTAGTGGATCACATCCGGAGCACCATTCCGCAGGTATCCCTTGGCAGCGACTTCATCACAGGGTTTTGTGGCGAGACAGAAATGGAACACGAAGACACCTTATCGTTGCTGCGATCGGTCCGCTACAACTACGCCTTCCTCTTCGCCTACAGCATGAGAAAGGTGAGAAATCAACACAGTGGCATCATCTCCTATTTTTCTGTCTCATACTTTCAAATCGGATGTTTCATTTCTTTATGGCAGGCAGGTTGGCTTTTCCCGGTTGGCTGCATTATTACATCTGTTTTGGAAATCATCAGGGCCTAAAAACAACCTCAAAACTTTCTCCTGTTTGCAGAAAACCCACGCCTATCACCGGCTCCAGGATGACGTGCCGGAGGAGGTGAAGCAGAGACGGCTGCGGGAGGTCATAGCGCTGTGCCGGGACGGCATGGGGGAGGCCAACGCGGCCCAGCTGGGCCAGCGACAGCTGGTGCTCATCGAAGGGGTGAGTCATTTAAAAACTATTTGGCCATGGCCGAGAATGACACTGGTGTCTGTGGGAAAGTGGGTCTCGGCTGCTAGCTAGTTGGCCCCCATGGGCAGACTTGCAAGGGTGGAAGAGGAGAAGTGGGAATGGGGCCAACGGGGCCTGTGGCCCCCCCCCCAAAAAGGAGCCCAAAAATTAGTCTTGAAAAGAATGAGAGAAAGGCAGTTTTTCTGGGCTTATTTCATATCCCTCCCTCCCAAAAGTGAGTGAAAAGGCCCCAATATACAGCCCCACCCCTCAGAAAGGTCGTAAAAGGTTACTTGAAAAATTTCCTTTTTTTTAACCATCCAAAAACAAGTTCCTCCAAGTTCCTCCATCCCCCGAAAAGTTGATTCAGGATCCGCCCTTGTTGTTCCTGGCTGTGGTCAAGTGATCCAAATGTGGCCTAAGACTGAATAGTAGATCCACTTGTAGAACTTTTTATTTTAGATGTTTCTCACCACTTGTGATAAATGTCAATTACAAATCAGATGCGAGTCAAATAGGTATGAACAGCGACAAAGGATGCCTTCATCCAATTTTGCATACATGTAGCTTGTGTCTTGACTTCAGATGTATTGACCAGTGTTGACTTGTAATGGGCTTGTAAGGGACGCTGCCATGACACGACCGAGTTCAGGCACATCTGTGAAAATATGGCATGCTTTAAAGATGTTAATAAGCAAACCTGTTTTATAAGGGCTCCGTAACAGAAGTACTGTTTCAGTGTTTACATGTAGGGAGTCAGGCTGGTGTAGTGGCTCTTTCCTCGCCTTCCACCTCTGCGACTCGGGTTCGAATCCCACCTAGGTCAGCAGGTGGATTGGGTTTTCAGTCCCTGCCTGATTCCAAGGGTTTTCCCTGGACTATTTATCCAGGGTTTTCTTCCCACCTCTAAAACTGAACATTTCTTCACTGTCTTCTTAAATTGTCACTTCATCCTGTAATTGGCACTAAATGCGTTGTTGGATAAATGGATATAAATAAATAAATAAAATGTGTATTTGTTTTCTCTTGGTACTTTCAAACAAAGTGAACATAGACTGTACAGATAGCTGCATTTGAATGTGAAGGTGTCCTGGTTCCCTTTTTCCCTTTACGTTTGACTCTCCACAGTCCAGACTGTTTGAGCATAACAAGGAGCAGGTGGCAATCTTACCAGTTGGAGAAGGAAATCAGGACATTATGACCTCACTGTGAAAGCACTAGCATTGAAAAAAGAAAGGTAGCACTTGGCGAAAAGTCAGGAAAAAAAAATTAATAATCTGCAGTACGTGCTCCTGTCCCGAGTAAAGCGAAATTGAATCTGGCGCCTAGTCTGAAGGGCTCGGAGAAACTTGTTGGGCCCCTTGGTTGAATTTTGCCCCGGCATCAGGTGTTGGGAGATGCTCGCTCTGTCCTCTAATGCGCCCCAGAATGGTTTTCTGGCCCTCATTATATGCCTCATTGGCTGGCTCGAGCTAGTTGGCCGCCCTGTCACAGCTGTGCTTCCCGTCTGCAGATTGAATCGCCTAGCCGTCCGGCAGTGATGACGGATAATTGGGGTCGTAGAACTAAGGAAAAAGGAGAGGTTATGTGCAATGAAGGCTCTGTGCACACACTCTGCAGAGGATGCTATTTCGCCTCACAGCGAGGTAGAGTGAACAGGACTTTAAACTGAGTGGTCTGGATCCGTTTTTGATTGGCTGTCTAGATTTTATAATTGATGCACAATAGGGGAAGGAGGAGATCGCCGGATGCTATTACCTCGAGGGTGACTATGAGATGGCTGGCTTGATGATCACCGTCCAAGCAAAATAAGCGTGGAATTTTCCTGCTTGCAAGCGCAGAACGCGGAGTGACATTAAGGCCTGTGCAGGTGTTGAAGTTTCTCAATGGGACATGTTTTCTGAAACATATTTCACATCCGGGGCGGAAAATGCTGATAGCAATGAGAAATAGAAAAGTGATTAAATTGCATATGACATGCTCTCTGTGACCAACCTTTTAATGGGTATTTTATGTTGTTGCTTCACTGGTAGTCATGGAGTGTTCCATGAAGAGGACCATCTTATTGAGAGCGTTCATGATTAGGAGCAGGTATTCGTCTGCTGTGCAATCTGTGTTCTCCATTTTACCCTTCGGCCCAAATCCGACAGTGAACGAGGCTCAGCAAGCACGCTCTCTGTGGTTTCGTCCTGTGGTGCCTCTTTTTCACATCAGCTGCACGTGCTTTGTTTACTTTGGCCCTGGCCTAGTTAAACTTTTACAGGTCCAGTGACATATTTGTGCTGCCGGTTGTGCAGTTTAGTAGATTTTACCCGGTATTCTGGCCTGGAGTGAACCAGTTTTTGACACCATTTTAATTCAGGTATTTAGAACTTGTGGTTAGTGTATAACAATTTCTTGCAGTCTTGGGTTTGCCGGCCTGAATTATTTTTCAGTGTAGTCAAGACTGTCAGAAGACCAGTCACAAAATCATTCACAAGACCAATTGTCAGCAAAATGGCAAATAGTGGATGCTTTTGTTGCAGATCCTTTCAACACGCTTGTGACTTGATTTCAGAGAAGATCTTTTATCATTTTTATCATGAAGTGTCTGGTAATGAAACCAAGGATTCTTCAAATGCACCTCAGGCACTGTAGCTCGCAAGCCTGAAGAAACCTGTAGAGAGGGGACAGTGAGAAGCAGTTACAATTTTAGAGGTGGGAGGAAAACCCTCGGGGAATTTTTTGGGTAAATTCCATGGAATCAGGTAGGGACTGAAAACCCAATCCACCTGTGGAAGGGCCGGGATTCGAACCTGGATCGCAGAAGTGGAAGGCAAGGAAAGAACCATAAGAAAAGAAATTCTGCATTAGCAAATATATGTGCTGAGCAGAATCAGCAGAGAACCAATTATGATTTTCAATGTGCACCACATGATATGTTAGCTGGTGACCCTATTTTCTACTAAGCAAAAATTTTTGTGTTGTGAGCAAAATTTGACCCCTGAAGTGATGACAAATGTCACCATGTTGAAAATGCCTGGTTAGTTCTTGGTTTTTGCCAACACAAACACGAGCGTCGCTGGGACCGAGGCGTTCACCAGCAACAAAATGAACACCATTAACAGTGGATGGGACCGAAATTAATTTTTTTTTTTTTAAGTTTCGAGTTAATTGGTAATTTTCAGTTTCCATCTCTTTGTTTTCATTGTTTTGGGGCTTTTTTGTTTCTTTTTTGCTATTTTGTTTTCTAATTTTTCAGTGGGGGGGGAAGTCCTGCCTCCACCCATCCTGATTCCCATCTGCGTAAACTACATTTACAAGGACACGTGTGAAAAAAAAATGGAGCAAGCGGCACTTTGGCCAGAGAGACAAATGTCACGCAGGAGACCACTTAACCAACCTTTCATCGATAATGTTTACGCTCACCCTGTCATTAGGCCAATTGCATTTGCATTCCTCCGTATCTTGGGCCCACGGGTTGAGAGCAGCTTTTAATGAAATCAAGACAGTCCAAATGGGACATGTAATTCTGTTATCAGACCTCAGTGCAGATGCCAGGCCGTTAGTGTTTCATTCACTCATACGGGCTTTGACGTTGCAAGTGGTCGGAATTTTTGAAGCGGCTCACTGGATGGCAGATGCGTAGTGAATTTTGCACCGGCGCCGTGTTTACCTTGATTGCATATGTCTTTGATTAAAAATTGTCCTTCCTGGAACATAATTTGCAACTTTAATAAACTGCCACAAGGCTGTGCAGTCAATTTATCAGCCGAGATTGATCCTTTTTTTACATGAGGAAAACCTGTTAATTTAAATTGCTCCTCCTACGAAAATCATGGAGGATTTCCGAGGGAAATGGATGGACTGTGAGCACAGTTTAATCCATTAACATAGATTTCCTTTCCCTCGAGTGATAAATGCTGTCTTACACCTGTGGGAAATTATTTGCCCCAAACCTGCATGCGATCGTTGAAGGGGAAGATTGTCAGAAAAGGCATCGGGCCGTGATGAATGACTGTGTACATGCAGTCAGAGTGATTCCATCACAGCTGCAAGGTGTCAGAGAAGCTAAGACCTCCCTTAGCCCATGAGATCTACCGTAATTGCTATAATGCAAGAAGCTGTTAGTGAGAATATGGTGTGGACCGTGCCTTACGCACTGATGAGGGAGGTTGAGGACTTCCGAAATCGTCTAATGTACCGAGGGGCTAAACTTTCAGTCGGAAAAGCTGTCACATGCAACACTACATTTTATAACCATTGGTAGGGTTTCTGTGAACTCCTTGGATCTCCTTTAAAACAGATCCATTGGTAAGACTTCAGATGAAGTCTGTAAAATACATTGAAAATTTTTAGTCAATCATAACCTTCCAAGATCCATCAAATCCAACTGGATTTTTTTTGGGATTTTGCAGGACTGAGGAAGGCTCACCCCCGCCGCTTTTAATCAAGTTCACAAAATATGCTTTTCGTTTCCTACCCAGTGAATGTTTTTCAGGATTCCAGAAGGCTCTTAGCAAAAACAAATCCCTTAGGAGTAATTTGGGTTCATTCATGATGCATTTGTATGTAACTGAACCGATTACTGAAAATTATAGGAGCTGCATGAACTGATATCTCATCTCACTCCTGCCACTGAACTTGACCACCGCAGGACAAGAAAGTATGAGTTTAAAGAACCTTTCCAAGCCGAGTGTTAAACCAACAGATGAAAGCAATTATTCATTTTGGCATGTGTTTGTAAATGTGTACGACCAGGTTCTAACCCTCAAAGCTGCAAAAGCCGGCAGAAGTGACAGAATCCTGGAAAAGGAGGATTTCCATTCTAACTCGATGAACCAAGAAACCCCGAAATCAAATTACCTCTGCCAGCACTTGATGGTTGCTGAGTTCACTTGTGAACAAGGAAACCAATGAATACAATGACCTTGTTACCATCCCTGAATGGTTGGCAGGGCTAGGGCACTGTCCTTTGTTCATTGATGCCTCGCTTTAGTAAGTTTCTGTTTTGATTTCGAGGGACATCTTATCCACCCTCATTATTTGCCTCTGAACATGGCGCCTTTCGATAATAGTCATTAGACCTTGATATACAATTTCCCTTTCCTGTAGCATCTGTGTGTGGGATTCTTTTGGGACCTTGCATTAGATTCAGTTGTGGAATATGATCATGTTTCAGGAAGTTATTTTTTTTATTTGGTGTTACTGGCTCGGTGTTGGAGACTGGCTTGGTGTTGGTTAGGTCTTGCTTTGTCTGGAGTCGGTTAGCTAAAATTCTTTGTTCATAGTTTTGGTACCTCACAGCGTTTTTCCTACAAAAAGACTTCCGTTGCTGACACAGTGTTTGCAGAAACATCTGTACTTAATAAAAAGTGTGATTGATGCTTACGTAGGACTTTCCATCGTACGAATAATGTCATAGTTCTTTACAATAATTACGCCAATCGTCAAGCAATACCCGTGGGCAGGGGATATTTAGGTATACATATTGTCTCTGCCCCCGCAGATATGCACTAATACACATGGGTGGAGAGAGTCAAGAAGGGGTGAAGTGACTAGCCCAGGGTCAGAACATGTTACCAGTTGCAGAATTCGAACCCCAGACCTTCTGATCGGTAGTCACAAACCCTAGCTGCTAGGCCACATGCCTGTAACTAAATTCCAAACCGAACCCAACCAAGCCAGGAAAACAAATCTGAAATACGAAACCTGGAAGAAAAAAACACCAGGAAAGAAAAGGCAGCGTCCAGGATTATTGGACTTAATTTGTTTTGTATTTTTTCTAAATGTTTATGTTGCAAGGTTTAAGATTGTATGAAACCAACTTGAAGAAAAAAATGGCCTTGTTTAGACCTTTAAGTTTCTGGGAGTTTAAATTAGTATTTTTCATTGATTTGTTTTCTGAAAGAAAAAATGCCCCCCAGCAATTGATACCTGTGAGTGTGTATGCGATTGTAAATTTGTTTGAAGTGGAATTTCTTTGCTAGGATTTCCCATTGTCCACTGACAATCGACATTGATTTCTAAATTTACTCGAAGGAGGAAAGCAAAAGAATGGAGCTCTGTGAAGTCTTGAAATGCAATAGAAGTCTGTTGTAATACGGCTTTGCCCAGCAGTGCAACGAAACATAAAAGGTCATGGTTTGCGCTCGGGGTGCAGCAGATGACTAGCTGTGCTGTTTGTGATGAAATCACTGTCAAAAGTGTAGTCGATAATAGTGTTGTTATGGCGATGAATAAACGTGGACACACGCATAGTTTCCTGGGGTTTTTTGGCTTCAAACTAATTGAAAATGTGGCTGGCAATAGACCTATTCTTCATCTCACTCTCGGCAAAGGCCAACAGGATATGAAGCAGGGGGCAGCGTGCGGACTTATGATCAGACGACACAATGCGTTCATTTTGCCGTGATGAATGACGGCCGTATTGACGTCCCTTTGCATTGGATATGTGTTCATTGTATGTTGCATTTCAACATCAACTTATAAGACATTTTTTGTGTGGTTTTTTATTCCTTTTTTTCAATTTCAGTATTTTCCGTCACATTCAGTACCTTTCCCCCCCCCTCATTTTATTTCTGATTACATGCACTGGATCATCAACTTTCACTTTGTGAATGGTTTGTAAATAGTTACAGTGGGCACAGTGGAGGAGCTGACTTGCCATTTCTTGGCAAATTGACGTCGGAAGCACCACAAGCGGTAGAAATCCGAGACATTTGGCCTGGCAGCCTGACTTTGTGCACAGGTTTAGAGCCGATTTTGAGTGCCGAGCGGTTCCTGCAAACTGATCTCAGGATGACAGAAATCTTGCCTGTTGACCAACGAATATTGTAGAGGCTCTGCCTGTCGACTCAATTGAAAGACTTAAAAACTCCACTTCCACGCTCCTCGCATGCCCCAGAGCAGGGCCTCTGTAGCCTTCATTGTAATCCTTCATTTGATCCAGTTTTGGATTGCGACAATTGAGGAAATCGAGCCAGTTAAATACCCGATAAACCAAATGAAATGCCTCAGCCTAGTGATGTTTGTGTGGAAGGCAAACCACTTTACACTTGAAAAATCTAAAACTGGTTTAGGACATGCTAGGAAAATTTGTAGTTTTACATGAGTTTTTGTTTGTTTGCCTAATTTTGTAATACTTTTTTGTGAGGGGAGTGAGGCTGGGGTGATGGCTCTTTGGACACCTTCCACCTCTGCGACCCGGGTTAGAATCCCACCTATATCAGCATGTGGATTGGGTTTTCAGTCCCTGCCTGATTCTGTGGGTTTTCCCGGGAATATTTATCCGGGCTTTTCCTCCCACCTCTAAAACTGAACATTTTTCATTGTTTTCTTAATTGTCACTTCATCCGATAATTGGCGCTGAATGCGCTGTGGGATGCAGAGAGATAAATGAAATGGGATAAAATGAAATATTTTTCTCTTCTTTTCTCTTCCAGGTCAGTAAGAGGTCTGACAAGGATCTTGTGGGACGAAATGATGGCAATATTAAAGTTGTCCTTCCCGATACCAAAGTTCTGAACTGCCTGAAGAGTGATGCCTCCGATTCCTCGTCAATGAAACCAGGCGACTACGTCGCAGTCCATGTAAGCCATGCTCTGTTTTCATTACTTCTGGAGGGGGTGGGCCAATCCGCCTCGAGCAGGAGCACCCCCTCATTGGTTGAAAAGAGCCGTGTCGGTCAGGAGTGTTCAATTTGTTGGTAGCGATGCGACCGTGACGCGTGCATTTCCTAGTCATTCGTGAACCAGCAAAGTTCAATTTCGACCAAAGGAGCCTCCGTTGCTAAGAAAATAGCGCCCTCTCTTGGTGGAGCTCGAGGCCCATGCCTGAATGAAAATCTTTTTGTTCCATTGTCCACTGCTGTGTATTCAGATTGTGCACACAGTGGTAATTTTGATGACTGTTGTGTTGAAATGAAAGATCAACAGTTGTGTGTTGGTTAATAATTTTCATGGGGGGCTGATGGAGGTCATTCCCCCGAGAATGCCATTTTCTCAGTGCTTGTTTTCTTTCATCTCGTATTTCCTCTTTCGACTGTTGGGAGCATCAGATTTCCACCCTGCTTCCACAAAACGTACCAGCAATATTCAGGCCAGTGTATACCAAGCGGAGGCATGTAAAATGATTGTCTACGCTAATTAGAACTCGGTCTTGTGAATTGACCACCTGTGGCGAATTCATCAGCGGAAGTCATCAGCATAAAAAATGGAATAGGATGTTTGGAGTTTCAAAGTACCTCAAGCATTTCTGAGTAGAGGCAGACCTGTCCGCAGTGCTGTTTGTAAATGTTGAATTTGGTTTTTATGTACTTTTGACTCTTTTTATAATGATTTTTGAGGCCTGAAATGTTATCAGCTTGTAATTTCATTGCAAACTTTCTATTTTCACAAATGCTGGTACACCAGCGCCCCACGCGAAACACTTGAATCCACCTTTACGATCGACTGTTGAGAGATTGCTTTTGGATAATCGTTGTTTGTCCTGGACAGATCGACAGCTGCAACTCCCAGGTTCTGAAGGGAACGCCTCTGTACCACACCACGCTGAAGGAGTTCCACCGCACGGAGGATGTGTCAGCAGTGGGAACTTACAGCTGACCTCCCGAGTTGGCTTACCCGGTCATCAAACGATCACTTCATGGCCCACATTGTTGTTTTTAATCGAGCATATGCACAACCCAAACTGAGACACATCACCTCCCACAAGATGTACCCCCTACCTCCAAATCAAAGACCTGTAAAATGGCCTACCTTGGTTATAAAAATTAGACAGAGGTTTAGAAAAAGGAGGGTGGTGCTAAGTCCTTCAGGAGAGGAGGGGAATGAAAAGTTTTTTGTTCTGCACGTCAGCCGTCCTCAATTCCGTCAGCCACCAGCCATCTTCCATTTTTGAAAGTCATCACACAATTTTAGTTTTTCCACCCGGTTTGCGTGAGAGACCTGAGTGATGAGCACTCGTCATTTTGTTTGCGGGCATTAAAATCCTCCCCCTCTTCTTTGAAAAGGAAAAAAAAATTGATCACATCATGGTCAGGAAATGTAGGTCAGTAGTCTCAATGGAAAAATGATTATAACTTTGGAAAACCCCGCAAAGTAGGTTTAGTCATCGGTGCAAGTACGAGCATCGCTTTGCCAGCTTCGATTTCATGGTCCAATGTTTATGTTATTTACCCAAGCGTACCAGCATTTTTCCACCACCTTACTTCACATTTTACGTTCTGTTTTTTTGGTTTTGACTTCATCCCGACAAGGGGGCATGTATATGCCTCATTTTGGTATGTCTCGTGCTGGTTTGTCTAAAAGTGTAGAATTTCCGCCTGAGAGGGTGTTAAATTTCCTGCCCAAATAAATATCCACCTTTTTACTGCAGCTCGGCTGCCACACGCTTGTTCCATCGGAGACTCTAACCTGAGCGTCCAAAGGTCCCTCTTGTGCCAACACCATAAATTTTACGGCTCTATAAATCCTTCCTTCCGAACCAAACAGTGGCAAATGTTTTTATTAGGGTGTGCGAATATGGCCCAAAGTGCGAAGTTGATAAATATTGCTGCCGATATTTTTTTTCGTCGAGAAGGAGGGAAGGGGGGGGCCCTCGGGTGACCCCAGCAGTCTGCCTAGACACAGGAAACATCATCTTCGTAAAATGGAGGGAAATGTCCCCACTTGGTATACATTGTTTTTTTATTTGTCTGTGTTCTTGCTTCCCATAGTCGGTGATCTTGTGCTTGTTCAGCTGTCCCAACTCCTGTTTCTTCCCTAGACATGGCGTGGAGTGGGCCTCGGCATTCACCCACTGTCAGACCCTACGCAGCTGAAACAATAGCCGAGCAACCGTGAACCGCATATCTGATCTTGAGGTTTACGAATTTTATACAGCATCCAGTGTTGTAGATTTAATGAGTTTAGGAGATCGTTTTTTTTTTCTAGATGACTGGCACCGTTTTTTTTATCACAAAGAAAAGACTACAGTAATATTGGAGCTCATCAAATATAAATGTTACGATATTTACAATTGACTCCAAACATATTTGTCGTTCTGCTGTGCCCGAAGGCCTGCGGCTGCCGCATGGTGCACGTTACTCGGTTTCCGCTGTCGAGGATTCAGTATGGAAATTAAAGTCCTTGTAGATTTTCGCAAAGTTGATAAGTAAAATTAAACAATGGAAGTCAGCTCGGTTCATTGAAGCTTGAGAAAAAATGGGGGATCTAGGTAATAAATGCTGGTTGGTTACGTCCAAATACAAGTACTCCGTGTAAGAGAGGGACAGAGTCCGGATATCAGGAGAGCGCTGCGTGACGGTCGGACGGTGGGACAACACTCGGGAAGTGGAAAGGTAGTCTCGCGGACCCTTTTAGTCATTTTTTTTGTGTCAACACGAGTGCACGCGCTCCCCTCTCGACTTCACGGTTATTAATTGTCAGATGAATCGAGAGAACCCGGCGGGCCCGGAGAGTACATTTCCGGGGGAGGGTGCGAGCTGAGAATAGTTTGGCGGCTCAGCAGGGTGGTCGGGAGGGATGGAGAAATATGCGGGGGTTTTGTTCCAACTATCACCGGTTATCGGGAATCCTCGGGAAAATGTTAGCGAGCGGTGAATTGCTACCTCGTCAGAAGGCAACATACTGTCCGTAGACTCGATGCAGAGAAGGTTTAATGTTTGCCCATGTTGGTTTTGTTTGTCTAGTATAAAATCTCATGTTTGCCCAACAAACTAGTGTTTGCTTTGACTTTACAGTCACCGCGTGGACTGAGGATCAAACTGTGATTGGCTCATTAATTCCACCAATCAGTGCACGTGTACCGTAAACGTCGACTCGGAGTGTCCACACCATTGGTGGAATTTAACTGGCATGCCCTGGCCCGGGGTCTGCGAGATTTATCGCCTCGGTCTCTCGCCCAGGGTCCCGTCCGTAGAGATGTTCAGGGTAATAGTAAACGTACACGGAGTGAATGCGCTCCTCATCTCAAGTACTGGACGTAATTTGAGACTGCCAGCAGATTCAATTGTACACCAAACCTTGTGTCCATACTGGTTTTATTGCGTCAGCCGTGTTTGCTATCTGTGTGTGCTTTGCGTGGTTGTCCGATAGGGGGTCTTATTGACCTTAGCCTCGCGTCATCCTTTAATGCTGGTGGCACGATGATGGCGGCCGTAATAATTGAAGGCGTGCTTTCTCGAGCGTGGCCTGAAATTATGGTAGCCCTTTGAATTATGAATGAAACTTTACTCTCGAATTAATGCAAAACTGGTCGACCATTGTGCCTGTGGTGGAGCATTTTGACCTTGGAGCTATGAAACGATAATTTCCCTTTGGTACTGAAGCCGGTTCTCGATGAACATTTTAACTTCAAGGGGCTTCGTTCACAGTTTTGTCGTTTAATGTCGCCTGAACCCATGGCTGTATTTTTTTTATGTCAAACAAGAAATCAGTGAGAGGCAGCATTTCAGGCCAAGTCTGCGCCACAGAAGAGGGAACTTTGATTGAAAAATTAAGAACAGTATTGACCGTTATAGTAGTTCACTTTGACATTTTGACGAGGAACGTGACCGAATAAAAACGAGTGACTGCTTGTTTGTTCCTTCAACACTGCTCGTGTCTGTGATTTTTCTCTCTTTCCTGGTCTCAAGTACACGTAGTTTTCAAGAGGGCAGTAAAGGTCAATGATTTAAACGAGGAAACCATAATCGGTGAAAGTCGTCGCCCAGCCTGGAGATCCCAAACGCACAGAGACGAAAAGAATTGATCAAGAAGCCAGCGAAATTTGCCCCTCAGTCCAAGTTGAACCCAACCTCTGCCCGGATGTTTTATTCTCCCATTGCATGGAAAAAAATTCAATAAAACAACTTCATTTTCATTCTGTGAAAAAGTACACGAATCAGTCAGTTGTCCATTCAGTCCCGCCCCGACCGAAACAGGGGAAAATGAAATCAAGTAATAATCCTTTCAAAGATTACTATATACTGAATTCAAAGCCAGTGTTGTTACTCCGAGTACGGACGAACATAACGCTGGTAGTTAAATTAATACGGTGTTGACGGTCTTTCGTACATTTCTACTCGAAGGATTTGCTCGTAAAATCCATATCGTCTCCTCCCACTTTACGACTAAAAACTTTAGGACCTCGTATAAACCTGGTAAGCACGCCACGGAGCCATTAGCGACGTCTCTTTCTATTCCTGGTATAACACCCACCGTTTCCGAGGCGCGTCGTTGTAATCCATCACACTTTTTGTATTCGCGATGGAGATTCGAAATCGGTCGTTTTCGTTTTCCCCGAGAACGCCATTGCGACAGTGACATTTATGGCCACTGTAAAAAACAACACTCAGACTATAACGCGACCCATCAATCGCCGACGAAGGACATTAACGGATTGTAAACATGCACGCGGCCGTCGAAAGGCTTCAGGGCCAATATGGAGGGTAATTTTCTGAAGGGTAATAATAATTATTATTCAATTATTATTTTTTCTACTTGCGATGTCTTTGACAGCAACCTTTTCAATATCGGCAACAGAGTCGCCGGAAAAGATTAAAAAATGCGTCCAATCTTCACTTGAATATAAGACAATAAGAAGTAGATCAAGGAAAAAGGACGCTCGTGTCTGTAGACGGATTTTATACTTGCGGGAAAAACTCCACGCAGTGAACTCGACAGATCCGACTGTAGTGTTGTCGTTTCGGGGGCAGATCCAGGGTTGACTTGATAGGGGTGTCCACCATGAGGGGGGCCGGGGATTGACAGTCAGTTGTTATTGTTTTCGTGCTGTCTTTCCTTTCATTTCCCCTTTCGAGGGGTAGGGGGATTAAAACCTCCTACACCATCGTCCATAGATCCAGCAGTGGATGTTGTAACCGCATATGGAAACATCGAATGTTTCTAATCATCGAATATGTGCGGTCAACTTCTAGTAGTCACGATGGTGAAATAATGTTTTTGTCGCTTTACTTTCCCTCTTTACACTTTTGGGTTGCAATTGTTTCTGTTCACATGAAAGTTTGTTTTCGTGACCGACATGTGTCTTTTTTTCCATTCTTGAAGACTGTGAAATTTTCCTCTTAAAAAAAATTCATAATTTTTTTGTTCAAGTGATATATGAGAGCTGTAAATGAAATATGCTCCATCCTGTCCAAATGTTTTCCGTGAAGATGAGAAGTGTGTGACATTTAACAAATGGTGCGTTGACCGCAAAGCACTTTTTTAGTTTTTAATTTTAATCATCCCGGAGGAATTTCAAGAAAATAAACACCGGTCACTTTGTTTGCCGGAAGATAAACCAGCCTGTGCATTAATTGAGCGGTTGTCAGTGTAATAGAGTGGACCGAAAAAAATTCCTCCAAGGGACTCGCATGCATGGCGATGCGTGCATCTGATTTTGTGCATGCGGTCGCGCGTCAGAAAGAACGGGCGTGACTTCCAAACGCCCGTTAAAAGACTTCAGTTTTCGAAATGTGCCAGACATTGTTTTCAGAGTCTGCGGCAAATATTTCCATCGAAGCATTTGACAAATCGAGCTTAGTCATAACTACTTCATGACGCGTGCCCTGTGAGCTCCCAGAGTGTCCACCAATAAGACGGCACGCCATACATTGCTACCCCAAACCTGGACATAAATACCTGTACGCGTGCGCGTTCCATCCTGTCACGGTCAGTCAATTTACTTAACGTGTAGAGTCCCGCGACCCTCTTTCTTCGGCATGCAAAACACTCTCATAAATTAAACGCATACTTCAAACAACCCAAGACAGGAGACGGACTTCAGGCATACGCAAACGTCGTTGGCTGGTTGATTTGCCTCAGTGTGTGCAGATACAATCTTTATTTTGCAATCACCTACACTGTTCGTTTTAAGTGGTGTTTATTACAGAGACCTCCTGAAGGTGTACACCTAATTATTATAAACTAATATAACCAAACGGGCAAAGGCCTACATGACTGTACATGTACATTGCTTTTGCATCCTAATGGGGAATGGACTTACAGCAACCCCAGTAATGATATCAGACTCGTGTATTTTAATACCACGCGAACTGCATTAATTGTTTACGTGAACTGTACGTGCATCCCATCCAAGGAATAGCGGTTGGTGCTCGCAGTTTTTCGCTGACCGTGTCTCACGGACCGGAACTATATGATGTCAGTCGTCTTGTCACTTCACTGCTGTCCTTGACAGTATAGGGTAACATTTGTCCCGTGCTTGAACAATTGGGGGCGCTTTAAACCTAGCGGGAACAGAGCCGCTTATAGAGAGTTGCGACATGAGTGTCTCAATTGTTTGGAACCAAAATGGTGGATTTTGGTTGCAGACAACAGCTGTACGCTGTTCTGCACACAATCGTCATGGACAACCATTTTGGTTCCAAAGTCTGAAGTCGGCGCTATACTCTCTATACAGCTCTGAGCGGCGAACACTCCTGCGAAGGTGATATTCCGCTGGTTCGCGCGTCGTTCAGTCTAGCGTTGGCGTCTTCAAGTTGGCGGCTACCAAGAAAGTGCAGCTGCAGTCCTTATCGAGGGACTGAGTGCTGGGGAATGTATTTTTTGCTATAAAGCTGAAGGGTCAAGCAGGTTTGAAGCAATACCGGTAGAAATAGGGTGTTACGCACATGTACGAGCAAATCAGGTGTCAAGTGTATGGGGTCACTGTGCTCCCGACCTTTGAATTGATTTAGCGTCCAGGCTTTCTGCTTCTAACCCCCGCATGATCTTAAGCGGCCCTTGACGTCGAGCACACCGTGAACACGATCCCCGGCTGGCACGGTTTACATGCCTATTGTGGGCCTACAAAAGTACTGGGACTTTTTTTCTTATCGAGGACCTGTGTGCACCGATCCAGGTGTAATAGGACCCGTCGTCGTGACTCGTCGTGCGTGCTTTGGTGTCGGTTTATGGAACGGAAAGAACAGTCTATGCGCACCGTACCCCAAGTTCAAGATCGAGATTCGTGCGGCAAGAAATCAAATTCGCTTGATGTGTTAATTTTCCCCGTCCTGCTTTGCTCTTTGCTTTGATTTCATGTAAGAAATCTGGCAAAGTTAAATTGATATCTGATCGGACTCCCCCCCGAGAGAGAGAGAGAGAGAGAGAGAGAGTTTTGCCGCTGCAAACGTGTATGGCTTCCCCTCTTCTCCGCTTGAAAAAGTTCCCTAGCGCAGGTAGCTTCAATAGAAATCGGTCGGATCAGAAGGTCAAGCAGAAAGCACGAGCATGCCCCAACAGATGGTTTATGCGTTTAACTGAAGGTCATCCGTAGAAAACTGTCCGTTCATTGACTGTCTTGTACGCACACCTAGTGTCGCCACGTATGATCACTGTGTCCGTTTGCTACATTGTCTGTTACTCTCTAGTGAATGATTTCACAAGCAGGGGCCAATTTCATAGAGCTGTTTAAGCACAGAATTTGCTTAAGCGCGGGAAAAACTTGCTTAATAAACAATGGTTACCAGCTCGAAATGTGTGATTGTCATGCTAACCAAAAGACAGGTAAATACCATTCCAAAAAGAATTTACATTACATGGAGTTTTGGCTGGTAACCTGATTTGTCAAGCGAGGTTTTTTTACGCTTAAGCAAATTTTGTGCTTAAGCAGTTCTATGAAATTGGCCCCTGATTTCAATGGCACTCGAATAATATTACTCCATTGCACCCAAGGTTATCGTAACATTGAATCGTCACTTTAAACTTGTATATTTACTCACATCCACATCAACACGCTTCTTTGGTCGAACGCACTATAAAGTCCTCAGACCAGCTGACTTAACTGCTATAGTTTCAACTTAGTACCATGGCAAAGTTGTCGCTTCTGCAATCGTGAAAAGCTTGAACTAAATTTGCTTCCAAAGTACTGTTTCAGGAAATTACCACGAACTGTAGGCTCAGTGCTATTATGCCGCCCAAGCAAGCGAAGCCAGCCTGTCTCACCAAGCTTGTCCGAATTACTCGGCTGCGGCCCAAAATGGCACGTGTGCCTATAGAAGCCGCTGCATTCAGCGGCTGCCATTTCCTATAGACCCCTATCACGGGGCAGCCATCTTGCCGTTTTTCTACCATCCAAATTAGTGTAACCAAACCGAAGCCGGAAGGAAAAGTAGTCTGCTCCCTTTTATCAAGATGTGCAGTTGTATCACTTTTTGCCAGTAGGTCTACAGGTAACAAGATAAACATGGCAACATCGTGATAAAGGTGTGTAGACCTGTGTGCTGTTGCTAGTCGTAACTCAGTCGTAACTAGCTCGTAAGTCATTTGGACACGGCTTGAAACAAGTATAGCTACACTCATCAACTCGATAAAATAAAGTGGTTTTGGTATCATTAGTACAGTCAGACAGTATAATTTCAGATAGCACTAATCGTGAACATGGCGTTAAATACTATGTAATACCAATCCGAAAGTTGGGCCTACAAGCTGTTGAAACTTTGTCTATATGTTGAAAAGATACGTTATCAAATACACCCGGTTTTGCTGCCATTTTAAATGGCTCGGGCATGCCAATCAGGCGCAAGCGTCAGAGACAACATGGAACCTGTATTTCATCTCATGCAAATTGCCACAATTCAAATTAACAACTGCCTTTAAAAGTCAACATTAAAACAAGTAAAGAAGCACGGAAACTCGGCTCTCTTTCTTGAGGTCTTATACAGTGACATTTATGTTGGTCGGACCCTTGTTTGAATACGTGGGTCGACGGGTGTAAACACACTCGTCTCTCTGTCAGCTACCTTGTTCAAACATAATACTTTCGGAACAGGGTGTTCCGTGGCGCAATACGTATTTAAAAATTAAAAGAAATAAAAATTGGAGTTCAATTGAAGCCAGCAGCTTATATTACGATGTTCGTGCATGGTACAATCCTGTTTCACATTTAATCCTTGATACCAATAACCTAGAGACAGCAAGTCAGGCCAACATTATGATCGTAGATGCTGAGCATGCGCGGTCAGAGGACTTTGTCACGTGTGCGACATGGACCAATGCGGCACAGGCCGTGGCAACACCAACTAGCTTGTGGTCTGGAGTGCCACAACACGTGCGTCCGTTGAAAGGGGCTTCCACTAGTTAGCCAGTGGCGTCCACAGACTCGCGTTCTTTCCACTCGCAGCCACAACTTTCTAGACACAGCTCCCATTTGGTACCGTAGCTGCGCCGACTTGAATTAACACCATGCATTGTAATCTCGATTTCACTGTATACAGTCTGGTGTCCAGACGTCAGTTCGGATAAATTCTGCTTGCCTGTCGTTTAAAACCGGGTGCACAACGGCAAAACTCATAAATTTCTGCGTGAAGCTATCAGTCTAGTTTTAAAGGGAATTCTATTCGCACATTCACATTGAAACTGCCCATTATGTCTGACATGGATAGGAAACATCGATACTAATCCACGCTTTTTCCCCAAAGCGCTTCACGAAACGCAGCCCAAGCAGCGCTGCGTTCAGTAGACCAGCATTTTTAAAACAGTCCACGTTGAAAAAAGTGAAACTAGTATATTATATAAAATTCAGCCTATAATGTAATTCGACCACCAGAATTAGAAGCCATTCCTGCGGGGGCACAACGCTCGTGGACAGGTGGTACGCGCGCGTTACGTGTCTCTTCGACCAATGGGGTGTCGTGATTTGCCAAATGTACGCGCGCGTCAAGCTGAAGAATGTGCGTGCGAGTGCGGTGCCACCGCGGTTAGGGCGTCTAATCGGATTTGTCTATAATCTCTGTTTGTCACCCTTTAGTGGCATGCACGCTGACAGATTTGTTGTTTGACCAACTGAAATGAACATTTTGGTTTATCTAAGTTCGTAATCTGCAGTAGAACATATGTACAAAATACTGTTATGGGTTGCATAGCCCGTATGCTTTTTTTGTTAATATAAATCCTGTCTTGGCAAATATAAACAAATGTACACCCAAAACAGTACTTTAAAAAATCTGTGATATCGTGTTGTATTACAGTGAACACGACTGAATAATGGTATGTACATTGTTCACGTAATCATAATATATTATTGCATTTACCGTGGGCCTCGTGGTTAATTTTAATTCTAATGACGTCTCTGTTTCAAGCCGGAAATCAATTAACAGAGAAGAATATTAGGTTACATGGACACTTTAGGTCTGTGTGATAATCAGTAAGTGATCTAAACAAAAGTTGGTATGTACTTCTCGTGCAACTGTTGCTAGCTTGTGGGTCGCCATGTAAGTAAAATCGACATGTTTAACCGGCACGGGGCTAGTCGAACGTGGCGAGGGTTTGATGGTTAATTAAGCCGGTACACAGCCGGGTAAAACCGCCACAGGGCCATGCAATCCGGGGGGCGGGTTGCTTGGGTCCACCCCCGGTTAAACTTGGCTTTGTGATCTGACTTTACAGTTGCAGCGCCGGTTGCCAACAAGCTGTTTACTTCCTCCAAAATACTGATTACAGTGTTTAAAGACGTGAGAAAAAAACATAACTAACCCGACAATCACTTTTCCCATTCACCCTTTGAACTACTCTTGGTCATACTTAATTTTGTAAACAATTTAATCTTACCCGCAGTCGAGCAAAGTCCTTCGTGCGAGATATCGTGTTTTTATCAGTTGACAACATACTGTACAAACACGTGTACTGCAATTATCAGTGTAGCTTTCGTTATAACTTGTAACCACTTCAACTCTGTGTGCTGTTTATATTATTTACAAACACTAAAACTTCAAAAAAAGGTTGTGACTGTACTGAGGAACCTATACGAAATTTAGCTTGGACGGGGGTTCACATGTGGGTGTCGCATTCGACCACATCTGGACTGAAGAAGACCTTAGTTTCTTTTACGGACGGCGAGGGCTTACCGGGGCCTCTGACGACCTTATCAAGTGAGGTGATGCCATTGGGCCGGGCGGTGTCACGTGACCCTTGTCTGCTATTCGATGGGTCGACCTTGTTGGTCCCTCTCAGCCTGTCCATGACGCCGCCGGCGCTCGACGCCTTGCTGCTGTTGCTGCTCTTGTTGCTGTTGTCGGAGCTGCTCCGGAGGCGGTCCTCCCGGGCCTCGTTCAGGTTGACATCGTTGGTCGACTCGCCCCCGGGGGCCGCGGGCAGGTACGTGCCCGTCTCGCTCACATAGTTTGGGTTCGAGTGGACCTCGGTGTGGCCCGAGGACGAGGTCTGGAACTGCAGACCGCGGGCCGACGACGTCTTGGTGTTGGCGCGCAGCCGAGTCTGCGTGAAAATGTTCATCTCGTCCTCGTCCACGAAGTACAGCGCGTAGATCTTGACCGCAAAGAGGCAGGTCAGGGTGACCGTGGCGTTTATGATGAGGCCGGCCGAGTAGTAGCTGGCCTGGTAGTAGGGCTCCTTGGAGGTGAAGTAGATGGGCGAGAAGGTGACGTAGACGACCAGCGTGCAGAAGCTGCAGAAGGTGATGAAGCGGGTCTCGTTGTAGTTCTCGGGCAGCTTGCGCGTCATGAAGGCGAAGACACAGCACACGATGATGAGTGCCACATTCCACACCATGACACCCACCGTCTCCACGATGTTCATCAGACAGGTGACCTGAAGAATGTTCTCCCTCTCGTTGGGCAGCTTCAGGATGACGCTGGGCGGGTCAACGATCAGCCACACCACGGTCCACACCACCTGCGGTGAAGATAATTATATCAGATCATTTCGTTAACCCTTATGATGGAGAACAAACGACTTGAGGTCACACTTAATACCACTCGACCTTTCACGGACATCGGCCATTCTCAAGGCAGTTGTGGGTCTGCGAATCAAACACAATTCTCGACGTAACATGTATTCCCACGAGCCACGCCAAGATTTCACCGATCATGTTCATTTATTTCCCATATGAAAGATCCGGTACATGACAGAATAAACACTACCCGATCTACCTGGATTATTTACCTTCAACCTTTTTGGGGGGACAGCAATGGCATGTTTGAGCAGATCTTAAGTAACGATTTGGTAAGAAAATTGTTACTCACCGCGAGTGAGGAGACGGACAGCGATAAGACAACTTGGAACATGGAGCCGATGTAGTTGGGCCTCTTGGCCGACTTCTTAGAAGCCCGGAAGATGCGGAAGAGACGGATGGTCTTCGTCGCTATAGAGGCGTAGATGAGGGACGGTGCTATACTGGGCCCAAAACGGCGGAGGATGCAGACAAACGTAGACGGGGCGATGGAGAAGACTATGGCCGTGACGTAGGACAGGAGGATGCCAACGAAGATGATGTAGCTCAGCTCCCGACTGGAGGCCTTGATGAGTGGCATCTCCTGGTTGTGGATGTACACGGCCAGGACGAAGAGGGTGGCCAGGATGCACACGCAGGCCACGGTGATGATGGCGATGGCCCAGGCCTGCTCGCCGAGCACGAAGTCGTTGGGGATGTCCACGCAAACGGTCTGGTCGGCGTTGGGCCAGGCGAACTTACCCTCGTCCACGTCGATGCAGGACTGGCACTTGGTGCCGTTTTCCACCACGATCTCGGACGTCTCGCAGGCTGTGCACGTCCAGCAGCACAGGTTGTCCGGGATGCGGTTGATCTTCTCCCCCGGCTTGCACGGGTTGCTGCAAACTGACCGCGGTATCCCCGTGGAGGGATCCACCGACGCGCCGTCCCAGAGGTACCAAGGCAGCCCTGGGTCTATCTTGAGACTCGGGACGTCCTTGTCCGTCGACTGTTTCCACTCCCCTACTCGGTGGAAGCTGTACTCGCCGGACGTCTTGTTCATCTGCAAGTGGTTGACGGCGTACCGGCCGTACATGTTGCCCTCTTTGGTGAAGCTTATCCATCCGTTTGCTAGGCTCTGGAATTCCGTGTTCAGCAGGTGTTGGTGCAGGACGTCCCCGTCAATGGCCGCCATGTTTGGGCAGAGCCCTTGTTCTGTGTTGGGGCAGAGGTCGCGGCGCATGCTCTCCAAGGCATGGGCAAAAGTGAAGACCGAGTCCATGACCAGCGTCTCGTGAGCGACCTTGCCGTCGTCGGCAAGGCTGATTAGCCCTGGGTCGTCGCAGCTCGGTGCCCCCGTGCCGTTCGTCGAACAGTCGGTGTACTCCTCCAGGAACTCTCGCAACCACGGGTTCCTGCTCGAAGTATTCAGAGAATGAAAGTAGTCATCGAATTCATTCAGCCTCTTAGACAGCGGAGATAACGTGAACGCCCCTGCGGTGGTAGAAACAAATTAAGGGATAGTTTAGAATCAGACCGCGGACACAAATGGGTTGAATATTAGAAATACGATGTAGGTTACTGTGGTCGCTTGTTTGATTATTGCCCATAAATCTATCAGACAGGGGAACGAGCTCGTTGGAGCCATTTTAAAGTTGTTTGTTTTGAGGATTGTTTTTTCTCGCTCAGGGGCTGTGGGGGAAAACGATTTGCACCTGAGTCGCTTGACTCATGTTCAGTTTTTGCAAACGTTTCGGGTGCACCAAACGCTGGCCTTCGTCTACTCTGGACACAGCCTCAATACATGGGCGCGTCCGAAACAGATACTTCGCGGCTACGGCTCAGTTCCGTTTTGCAATTTGGGGAAGAGCCATAGTGGTCGACAACTTATGCCCGCGTCCGACACGAAATGTTTCAGCAAACGGAACAAAAGAACTGCGCTCTAAGATGGATACCACGCAAAGCCTCTATAGATCTTTCGCTTGAAACCCAACGCCCATACGCTGATAGAAGGGACAAATGCACGGCATACTTTTTGTGGAGCACTCATTGGACAGAGGTCATTTTAACAATAACATGGGTCGACACTTTATCGTTCACATGACACATGCCCACTGAAAGTACGTGCGTGGACAGCAGGTAACCCACAATGCTTTGCGCGTCCATCGCTGTGAGGTATTCCTTCCACGAAAAGTCTGTGAGTGTGAATGTCCCCCAGCGCCCAGTAGGGCAGTAGGGACGAGCAAAGATAGAGTGTGTGAATGACTCTTGTGTCACTGTCCTTGTGACCCCTCAGGGAGAGGTCAAATCATTTACATATTGGCACTCTCACAAGATAATACGCTCTGCGAATTGCACTTCAAGCCTCTGCTGCACTGGAAAACAGGAATCGTCATTGAAGGCGCATGGCAACGATTTTTAGGATCCCCGAAAGCGATGCCTGATTAATGCAGGCATACGAAAATTGTATGTGGCGATGTAGCAGGCGGCTCGTCTCTTCTGTTACAAATCTTGATAGTGGCACTTAACTACTCAAACATAACCAGAAAAGAAAAAAATACATCTTTGAAAAGGAGCTGTTTACGCTGTGCTTTTGAAACAAGTGCTTTGATCAAGCTAGACATAGTTTGCTATTGGTGTTCATTTTGTTTGACGCACCGATTAAAATAAGAGTTGCACAAAACAAAACAAACCAATACCACAATGTGTATGAATTCATAATCAACGTGCAGTTCTCGTAAGCATAATGCAGACTGACAGTGATGCCCCTTGCTTTGATTGTATCTGGGGACAAGTCGATAAATAATGCCTTTTTGATGCGCGAGACGCGTTCGGCACAGGAGAGCAAGCAGGCAGATGTTGAGCTTTGGTCCCCCCCCCGCAGGCCTCCTCCAAAACCTCCTCCCTTTGTTTGTTTACACAACATGCTTCAGTGATAGGCAACGTCGTTATCCGCAAATGGCGCTAGTCACAGCATATAAAGCAAGGTCAGAGCAGCCTTATGGCCGTAATAAGCACGCAAGTGTTTTTTTTCTCCCTCTCTCTTCCATAACTGCCGACGGTGCTCTGAGAACAAAGTGCCCTTTTTATATCAGTTTCTGATGGAAACGTATTTTCCTCCCTATGTGTAAACTCAAACATTCTGGGGCGTAATGAATGTCAAACCCACATAATTAGGGTCAATTTCTGGATTGCTTCACCGTGTGAACCGATAAATTAGTTAAAAGGATCGTCGCCGGCATAATTTTATAACAGTGTTTTGCTGCTGTAAATTTTGTAAAAATAACTAAAAGGTGTACATTTCTGCTTATTTTGACGACTTCGGTGTTTATATCGTTCCTCTGCTAACAGATTTAAGTGGAAAAATCACCATTGCGTCTGCACGCTTCTTAAAACACTACGGTGTTAAATCAATACCTTATTGATAAACGAGTTGATAGATTGAGTTTTGTGCAGATCGCTTGGTGCTATTGCAGTGTAGCATTTAGTTCTTGCAGTATAGAGGCTTTGCGTGATAGCCATCTTGCAGGGCAGTTGTTTTGTTCCACAGGGAAACCTCCTTTGTGCCTACCCTGTGGAACAAAGCACTGGTCTGCAAGTTGGCAGCAGTGGAAACCCTCTATACATTTCCTGTGTTACAAATTATTGTAGATACCCCTGTAAGAACACTCAATTGGAGGGGTATTTTGTTTGGAGATCAATGCCCCAAAGAAAACCTGCCGCATTTCTTCATTGATTTCTCTAAGTTACCGTCATCGAGGTGGTTAGAAAGAGCTCAGAACTGAACCGTTGGGTGTGTGTAACTGTATGCAATCTTTTTGCATGTATACGACCAGTGAATTCACTGAAGCTTGTGTTGTCCGCCTTGAGCAGAATCACCCCCTCGTCGGGTGAAAAGAGCCATGCTGGTCGGGAGTGTTTGTTTTGTCGGTAGCGATGCGCACGCAACGTATGCATCTCATAGTCGTTCGTGAACCAGCGAAGTAAAGTTTGTACCAAGGAGCCTCCGTTGCTAGGAAAATCGCGCCCTCTCTTGGTCCAGCGCGGGACCCATTGGCTGAGTAGACTCCATCCAATGTGGCGTCTCGACCAGCCTCTATGTGCGTGGCGGTTTTGGTCGTAGAGAGGTTTGTCATTTTGTTCCCCTCCCCCGTTCTCTCGTCGCCATTGCTAGCGCTCACCTGCACTGAGAAATGAAACAGCGGTGATTTGGCGCGACTATCTGGCTGAAACACTTCAAGTAGCCTGGCCACAATACACAGGGAGTGATTAATAGGGGACTAAATGCGGCTTCTTCTTCTTCTTTTTAAAAAGAGGAGACAAGTTCGTGCACGATCTACGCTGCGGTTGCTGTAGAAACGCGAAGCAGTGATGAATCGTCCACACTTGAGTTGCTTTTAGCAGAGAATGTTGACGGTCGGAGCTCAGGCCAAGAGACCTCCAACAATAGGCAGACCTGTCGCCCTTATTGATGTACATGCACAGAGTTTGCCATGCGGAAAGCGAGGAAATCTGAAGTGGTTCGATATTAAGACCGGTTTAGTGGACGAGTCCGGAGAGTGAGGAGTATAGATATAACGTCACCAGGGTCCTCTACGGACATTCGTCTCAAACGTTGAAGTTGGGTACATGGTTGCAACTGCCTAGAAACCATTGCACACAGTGGCATTTCTGGCGACGCTGTTGACAGAGACCAAGATGGAAAGAAATTCCCGGATGTGATCAGGGAGGTTGCACATTGAGACCAGTAATGCAGGCCAATATACACACACACACACACACACCAAGTTCGATAATTTCTGTAGATTTTTCCCTCTCCTGTGACATATAAGTGACCTATCTTTAACCCCTCTTGTTCCGTTCAGGGTATCTTTAGCATTTACTGCCCTTGAAAAGCTGAATCAAACTTCATTTTAATGCTCACGTAAAATTCCTCACTCGTACTGTAATTTGCCCAAACCTATCAGGTTACATATATTACTGTGTTCTGTTATCCAATTTGTAGTTTGCGTCAACAGCTATTGTGCTTTGCAAGGCGAGAGAATGCCATTTAAAAGGGGGCTCATTTAATCTTATCTCGTCACGTTGTATATTGTGATAACATTTCGAGATTTCTTTTGTCGCGGGTTCTTTGGCCGGCGAGTTTGAACAGACTGGGGAACAACGCATAGCCAGAGCTGCAGCGCTCTGTACGGAAACAATTCGCAGAGCAAGAAGACATGGCACGTAATTTTGGCCTTTGGTGGAGGGGCATTAAGTGCTTCATTTTTGAACACCCTACTTTTTTACACTTTTGCTGGCGTTTGTTTCGAAGGTTTTCCACAAATTGGAGTTGTTTCCGGACCGTCTTCAACAACAACGAAAGACGTACTTTGCAAATACATTTTCATGAGGAAATTCCATATAAAATTCCATATAAAAATAAAGAAACGTGCCGATAAATTCCTACAGGGAAAAAAAGAAATTAAATTCCAATTTCATTATTGCTGGTATTGAATCGTCAGTATAGCACCATGTAATCTTTGGTTATAAATGTTTTGAATGTTGCTTTGCATTGTTTTCCTGCAGTACATTCCCGAATTATTTACAGTACTGGTGGAAACAAAAAATGTTTTCCACGATTGTTGATTGTTTAGGTTTTGAAAATGGGATCCGTTGGCAGGTTTTTTGATGAGAATTTTACCCTGTTTGATCATTATTTACCGACGGTGATTTCTTCAAAGCCGGCGATAGCGTCATTTCCGTAGTTTCCCCAGCCGTCGCTGCCGACCCAGACAAAGCGCCTTTCGGCACCGACCCGCTGGGCCGCGCCAAAGACCTTCCTCGCCAGCTCGATGTCCAAGAAGAGCACCACGACCACCGAGTCTGTGTTCCGCTGCAGCACCAGCAGGTCCAGGATGAGCGTGTCCAGCTCTTCCAGCTCGGCGAAGGGCGACACGGTCCGGTAACTGGACGCGGAGGTACAGATGTTCCCCTCGGCGCTCCGCCGCTGGAACTCCTGCTGACCGTTGTGGCCGTAGACCTCATCGGAGCTGATGAAGGTGACGTAGGTCCAGTTGAACTCCACCAGGAGGTCGACGATGGCCTGCACCTGGTAGATGTCGGGGCTGACGGTCCGCAAGAAGTACGGGTAGCGGTTCTTGTTGCTGAGGACGTCGCTGGTGGACAGGTAGCTCACCTGGGGCATCCGGTACAGGCCCAGCAGGATCGCCGCCTGCTCGCTACAGCTGCTCCGGCGAGCGCCCACCACGCCGACCATCGGCTTGCCCGGCTCGGCGCACCTGTTGCAGGGGATGAAATTGAGGCTGCCGCGGAGGGTCTCCGAGACCGAGTAGAAGGTGTCTCGGATGTGGTAGCCGAGGTGGATGCCGGGTAAGATGGAGTGGTTCCTGTTGATCCAGTCGATGGCGTACACCATGGCCTCAACCTCTCTCAAGGCCTGCACAGACCGAAGCGGGGTGCACGCCCGATCGTCGGAGAGATTGGTAAAATGA